TTCTTTACTAATTTTCATCAAGTTTCACTTTATGTGATATTAATGTTGTAATATTACAAATATATATTTTTTTTCCCCACTAAGATTAGCGGAATTTTTATAAGTAGCTAAGTTTAATGCCCACAGAAGACAATAACCACACAGAATACATCATTCTCATAGTACGGAAGATTGGTATGATACCAGCACCTGCACTGCTCTGCCCACACATTTACATTCTACATTTTCACTTGCAGCATTGCAAGAGGAAAACTGCAAAGAGTGCTGAATAGTGCCAAACTATGAAATGGATTTGTGTTACGGACAGATAGTCACTAGCATGACACTGATGTCATACTTTCCACTTAGAGTGGAACGCTAAACCAATTTCTCCAAATTCTCTAGAAATCAAACACTACCACACCATAATACCTGCTAGGTCACAGGGAGTGAGTGACCTAGAAGAAACATTACACTGATTACCATGGAACCTTCACTGGACACTGACTGCTCAGTAATAAGCATCATAGGTTTAACAGTAATCCTAGATTCAAGGCTGAACAGGAACAACAGGTATGTCCCTGACTTTCAAAAATGCTGAACCTTCATCAGCCTCAAATATATATTGTCATCCTGTGTTTATTTACCTGCTACAGTTAGTAAATGGACCACATACTTCTACAACTTTATTAGATATTTGTTTACATATTTATAAACAAGCTTTTAATACATTTGTTCTACCATACATAGTCAATTTATACTAACAAGACTAAGTTTGTTATAGTTACACAAAATTATCTGCACAGGTTCTGAAGGGGTTATCTCCAAAGCTTCCCAGTTCAAAACAAAGTTGCCAATTTTACTCTCACCTAGGTTTATATAACTATTTATTACTGTTAACTGTGCTTCATCTATAAGGTGCTACCAGTTCAAGAAGCCACCGGGTTTCTGTTATCACTAACTAAGCATAACCAATATTTTTAACGCTGTGCAATTACTATCTGCCCAGAGCAAAATGAAATAACTTGTTACTAAAAGACAGTGGTGCTCCCTATAACAGAAGGCTTGATATTGTTTAGTTAGTGTTTTATTGTCACTGTGAATGAGTGACAACAGCAAACAAGATACAACAATAAAGGAATCAGAAAAAAGCAACAAAAATGACTTAGTATCAGTTAAAATAAGGCAGATGAAAATTAACTGCTAGAGCCCCTATTTTTTATAGTTTAGAATTTACCTGGTTGATAGGAGACTGATAAAAATTGCTGAACTAGTATCCCCTCCTCCTCTCTTTCTCTTCTGAAGCTACAACTTTTTTATTTAGCACACGACGAGATGTTTTCCCTTCTGACAACAGTCAATTGCACAGAAACTGAAAGAGGATAACTAGAGCTATTTTTTATAAGTCATTACATTAAACAATGGTGGATAGATCTTGAAAACAGGACAGAAGTCTACAGCTATACTAACTAGTCACCCCTCAGTATCTCACCAAAAATATTTTTGTGCTGGAAGAGGTTTGTGAGACTGGCAGTATGCTGTCATCTGTAAACAAGATTTCAGCCAAGTGAGGACTGGCACTCAACAGATTGCAAAAGCTGAAACAGCATTCAGATTTGAGCAACCAAGTCATGCAGACAGAAGGCCTTCAAAACAAAAGTGGAAGGAGACATGGAGGATATTCTATTAAGCTTAGGTGACCTCTCTCCATCACAAAAGAGGAGTCCTTTAGAAGTACCTACACCTCTGGCCTGCTAGTCTCTCAGAGACCTGGGAAAGGGATGGGATAGGCAGCTTCTCTGTCAGAGCCGTTACGTAGTCTCTCCTACAGCTTTCCAAGCCCAGTCCCCTGGCTGGGAAGATGCCTGTTCTGTAACTACCGGCGCAGCACAACAGCGCATCACCGCCCACCCCCGAGCTCAGGCCGGAGAGGTGCGGGGAGCTGAAGGGGCTCTGCGCTTCGGCCAGCCCGGTTCTCACCACGTCTCTGAGCTCCCAGCTGTCCTTCTGGAGAGGACAGCCGCTTCCCTCACTGCTCACCCCACAAACAACCACCCCCCACCTGTTACCTGCAGCCCGGGCAGCACGTCCGGGGCCAAAGGGGCTCCCGGGGAAGGGGGGGAGGGGGGAGCCGTAGCCCTTCGGGCTCGCTTCGGAGGCGAGGTCCCC